GCCTGGGCGCTGTCCCTCAGCTCTTCAGCTCAAGGCGAGCGCTCTACCACTTGAGCTACAGCGCCACTTCCGGTTTTCTGGTCGTTTATTGGAGATAGGAGTCTCAACGGTCTCTCCTGCCCGGGCTGGCTTTGAACCGCGATCCTCAGATCTCAGCCTCCTGAGTAGCTAGGATTACAGGCATGAGCCATCAGCGCCCGGCTATTTTTAAAATTTAAAGGTAGCTTCATCTGTAAAAGAAGAAATAACTCTCTCCACAGACTTTAAAAAAAAATACTATCCACATCCCGGGTTTGCTGAGTATCCTTATTACTAAAATGATACCCAAAGGCAGGATTATTTCCATCTCAAGTCCATTGGCAGGAGACTCCTCATCAAAATTTGGAGTGAGGCCAGGCATGCTGGCCTGTAATCCTAGCTCCTTGGAAGTCAGGAATGGGGGTTAGGGGGTGGTTTAATCACCGTTTGAGGCAGCCTGGACATAAAACTTCATTAGATTTTTAATCAGTGGCAGGGTGTGGTGGTGTATGCCTGTCATCCCAAGCAACGTGGAGAAGCTCAAGTAGGAGGATTGGAGCCCAGGCCCACCTCGCATAAAATAACCAACATAAATAGAGCCTAAGGTGTGGCTCAAGTGGTAGAACTCCTGTCCAAATAAGCACAAGGCCCAAAGTTCAATCCCCAGCACTGCCCATTAACCCCCCCCCAAAATTGGAGTGACACTTGAAATGACTCATGCCTGGCCATAAGTTAGCAAAAAAAAAAAAAAAAAAAACTAGACAGGCTCATGCCTATAATTTCAGCTACACAGGAGGTATAGGTAGGAGGATTTGTTTTGTCCTTTAGTAAAAATGTAAGACCCTATCTGAGGCATGGCTCAAGAGGCAGAGTGTTTGCCAGCACATGTGAGGCCCTGAGCTCAAATATGAAAATATGAGTAACAGAGACACACAGATACACACACAAATTAGTGTATGTCTTCCTAGTACTTTCCCTCCCCCCCGCTTTATTTAATTTTTACTTCTTTTCTGAAGGACTTCTATCCTCTATGTAGTTAGCTTTTGCAGAATCTTTTCTCCGTGTTGGAAAATCCATTCCACAGTGGATCTCCAGTGTGCTAGCATTTGCTTTCAGTAAATGCTTAATATAAAGCAGCTCTTCCAGCGTAAAGTTTCAGCATTATTTCCTTGTATGCAACTTGATGAGCTTTTTTAATTTTCCTTCTTGGTTCCTGTAAAAGTGCTTGGTTTTATTCTTCTTTATAATTTTGAATGAGCTCCCTGGTTTGATAAACTTGCCGGGAAGTTTATAATGATTCCCTCCTAAGGTAATGACTTCCCTAAATTTATAAAGATGCAGTTTTCATCATGACCCTCCAGAGCCATGCTACAGTACTGTCCAGCTGTTGCCAGTCAAAATGCAAGCTGGCTGTTTTCAGGAACAGTACCCAAGCAATAAAGTCCGTGTTTGGAGTACTGTCTGTTCTGTCAAGCTGTTGTCTTGGCCTTCGCCAGCACTGCTGGGGACCCAGCATCTTGTTTTCATTTGGCTTTTGAAAGTCGAATGCAGAAATGTGGTCACATTCTTTAGCTTGTCCCACTCTGTTGATCACAGCTTCATGTCTTGCATTACACGATGCACTGCCAGTTCCAAGAATGGTTAACCTTCACAGGTCTTCCAAGCAAAACTCAAGAAAAATAGATCACTCTCTATGATACTACATTCAGAGGCTTCCCAGTGAAGACAGTTAACAGAGCTCTGCTTACCTGCTTCCTTCAGTCACAGACTTGGAATAAATACAAATCACTCCTTTCTTGCTCAAATAAGATGCAGTGCCATCTACACCCTCAGGTTTATCTCCATTTTTAGTTGTTTGTTCTTCATTTTTGTGTGTGTGTTTTCAATCTCTATTCCCATCCTGGCTTGGCTGTTCAGACCTTGCATCTGGCTCTGATTTTAAGGAAGATTTAACCTGACAAGCCTGGAAGTCTTTGTGGGCTAGGACCAGATATTCTAGCCTCTAATGTAATTTTATATCTGGTTATGCAAATGGATTGGTTTTTCTCTGGAATCTTTGAAGCCTTTAAACAGTTCCTTGTGCTGTTCTAAAATTAGGCCAACACTTGGTAAGTAGTAACTCGATCTCCATTCTTCTCACCACTAAAGGGCAGGCATTTCACTCTCAGGTAGCCTGTTCTTACCTCTCTGGCTTATAAGTTGTTGGAGCAAGTTCTTCTTTCTGGATAGTTGTTAAAAAGCACTGTTTTTGATGTCTTCCCATTGGGATACTTACCCTGGGTGCCAGGCCTCTCTCTCCAGTCATCTGTTTTCCCTTTTGTCTGTGTAGCCTTCGCTGTCTGTAATGCAGCCCCACTGACTCCTGCTCTGTTCATCCTTCCACCCTCTGCCTTTACTGATCTCTTTGGACTCTTTAGGCCTTTGCTCTTTCTGACTGCTGGAGACAGATCCTCTCTCTACTGCCTACCATTTTCAAGTTGTACCCACAAGGCAGTGAACACAAATGGAGCTTCATGGAATTCCACAAATTCACACCGACTCTTCTCCTGAGTGCGTTAGTCCCACCAACCTTTTCATCACAGGTGTTTCCTTGTCACCACGCATGATTTTCAGTATTGAGTATATACTGGCCAATGGAGCACTGTACCTCACTATCCCGGTGGAGTTCTGTGTCTCTAACAATGACTTAATTATACATTACAAATGGGACAGGACTAAGAAGGAAAACAGGGCTGAGAAGTGGCAGTGCAGGGAAGGCCAGATGGAGGAGGTAATATGTAAGCCATGATGCTAGCACAGCAAGTATCAAAGGGAACATTCCAAGCAGACAGAGGAGCATGTACAAAGGGTGTGGACCAGAAGCCAGTAGGATCATGCATGAATCATGCAAGGCAAGGCTGCTGCCCACAGGCAACATGTGTTACATTTGAAAAAGAATGTGGGCTCTGCTAGTCACTGTGAGCTTCTTTGTGTCTCAGTTTCCTCATCTAAGAATAATAAAAGTATCTACATTGGATTGTTAGGAGACTGAAAGCAATTCTGGCACATGCTAGCTAATATACAATACTCACTGTTAAACTCCATGGTAGGGAGTCAGTTTAATTTGTAGATTTCAAGATGGTAGTTGAAGAGATACATTAAGGAGGAAGAAAGTTTCCAGGAAGAACAATGGAGAACCCTTTCCTCTCCCCTCCATTCTATCTCCTCTCCTCATCTTCTCTTTTGTGTTGCTTGTCCTTTTTTAGGGGAGGGGGTAAGGGGGTGTTGGTACTGAGGCTTGAACTCAAAGCCTGGGCATTATTCCTTAGGTTTTTCATTCCAGGCTAGGGAGTGCTCTACCACTTGAGCTTCACTTTTGGCTTTTTGGTGGTTAATTGGAGATATGAGTCTCATGGACCTTCCTGCCATGATTGGGTCAACTTCTATGATCTTCAGATCTCAGCCTCCCAAGAAGCTAGGAAGTACAGGCCATGGAAGCTCAGTATGTTTTTGTGGGGTTTTGGTTTTGGTTTTGGTTTTTTTTTTCTGGTGCTGGTTTCTTGGCCTGAATTCAGCCTTGTAATCCTGCTTGGCTTTCTTGCTGACAGCTGGTGTTATCGTGCCTCGTCCAGTTAGCTAATTGGAGATGGATCTTGTAGACTTTTCTGCCTGGGCTGGTTTTGATCCATAATCCTCTAGGTCTTTGTCTTCTGAGTAGCTAGGATTTTAAGAATGATCCATATATAGTTGATTCTTGAGACATCCCAGAGCATCTTATTAACTAGGGTTTATCCAATAATGATGGACTCCTGAGATAAGGGAGGTATGAACAGCCAAAACAGCCAATGGGGTGACAGCTTGTTTGTCTCATGATTATTTACCCATGGGTCTCTTTCCCTCAAGAGCATAGCAGTTAGAACATAGCAGTTGGACTTAATTATGTGTATGTGTTTCCTGTTAAATTACTTCATACTTTGCAATAAAAAATGAATGAAATAGAATTTGTGCAGGTACTTTAATATACGTGCTTTTGCCTTCTAGTCCAAATGCCCAGCTGAAAATGTTGATAGCTGTGGGAAAACCGCTTTACATTATGCAGGTAATTACCTTGCATTCTCTCATTTGTCTTCTTCCATGAGAAATGAATATTTCATTTTCTTTATTCAAGCCATTCAATTTACAGGAGTCTTTCTGGGGTTGATTTCTGTCATTACCCTTAGATGTTCCCATTTTACTACATTTATAAAACATGCAGAATTTTATCAAGGAGCATACCTACAATTCATTAATTGCTTGTAGGCAATCAGTAAAAGTTACCATGGTAATGTATTTAACTAGGACTGAGGGTATGGCTCATGGAGGGACATGTATTTTGCGTGCAAGAGGTCATACATACACATGCACACACACACACACACACACACACATTTTAGCTGTGTTTGAAGTTTCTTTTTAAGGGTTAGTCAAAAGCACTTGTACATTCCAGATAATGTGTGATGCATTTGGGGCATCATGATGAACATGATAGGCCTCTTGCTTTGCTATCTGACACAAAACTCCAACAGACAAATGTTGACACTGCACTCTAGGACTTTGGTTACTAGTTGGGGAAAAGCTAAATCCTATGAAAAGCTAAGCCAAATGTTTGCCTGAAGGCAACTGGCAGCCAGTGGCTGTAGTTGTGAATAACACTGAAATTAAGCACTGTTTTCCAGTGCCTTGTACTTAGCCTTGCTAGTGCTGTTTCTTTTCAGTGCTTCAGTGAGTGTATGCTGTGTGGGCAGGCTATGAACTTTTCCTTCCTAAAACTGTGTGATGCCCTGGTTGTGACAAAAGCTTTGTGACTGGAGTGGTGTTTGTGTTTCCTTTCTCAGCGGCGCAGGGCTGCCTTCAGGCTGTGCAGGTCCTCTGTGAGCACAAGAGCCCTATAAACCTCAAGGACTTGGTAAGTGCAAGGTGGGCACTAGAAGGAGAAATGGACACTGAGCACTGTAGAGAACTTGTGAGAGTCGCTAAGACTCTAGCCACCTAAGTAACTGGCAAAATTCCTAGATTCTCTTTCTGTCACATGGTTTCATGTATTTATTAATCCTCATTGGTCACTAAAACATTTTATAGTAGGAACTTCTTATACATTTCTGAGGACTACATGTATTCTGTCATCAACCATGATAGGAATAAAACCTCTTGATTTGTAAAAATAAATAAGTATAAATAGAAAATCTGTTGTTTTTCTTCTATACCCCATGTGATAATCTTGAATATTTTCTGGTTAATCTTGGATATTTTCAGGGTCCAGGTGCTGTCCCTGAGCTCTTTCAGTAAGGCTAGTGCTCTGCCTTCAGTAACAGTGCCACTTCTGGTTTTCTGGTAGTTAATTGGAGATGAATTTCACAGACTTTCTTGCTGGGCTAGCTTTGAACGTGTAGCTCCTGAGTAGCTAGGATTATAGGCATGAGCCACCAGCGCCTGGCTAGAAATTCTTACCTTTATGTTCTTCCAAGTCCTCTCTCATTAAATATTCTGTATTTAACAGTTTATATTCTTAATCTACCTGACATTTTGTATGTCAGGATCTAATTTTCATTCCCCCACAAAGAGATTTTTAACTGTCATGTTCTGTTGAATCAATTAATTTTTTTATCCATTTCTTTATCATGACTTGTGTTACTAATAGACTCTTCTAGTATGTTTTAATATCTAGTACAATTATGAAAAGGTATGTGTGCATCCTGGAAAGAGAAGGGTAGAATGGTGTGATGAGTCCATTATTTCCAGCATGTTGTCTTAGTACACATGATATACTTGCCTTCAGCCTGGACATACTTTCTCCTTAACTATTCATATTTTGTGAGAGCTAAAGAAGTAAACAGCCTAACAGGCTGAGACTTGTAGGGAAAGATAAACTTGTAGGAAAAGTAAAGAGTTGTGCTAAGATATAATAGTGGCTCTAAGGGACACAGTGTATAATGATGAGTTAAATCTAAGACCAGCAGTGTAAGGTGGATAGCAGGAGGATGTGGAAAGAACTGGCCTTTGTAATTCTGCTACTTGGTATTGGAGTTAAAATCTAAATGTGAACTTGTCTCCTAGGATGGGAATATACCACTGCTTCTTGCAGTACAAAATGGCCACAGTGAAGTCTGTCGTTTTCTCCTGGATCATGGAGCAGATGTCAATTCCAGGGACAAAAATGGAAGGTACTCAGAAATCATATCACCTCAGAGACTCATATTCTATTTTCTGTCTTATCACAGCTGTATTTTAGATGATATCAAGTATTTTCAATCTTTCTCCTTTTTAATTTTCTACCTTTATTAGTAATCAAGTTTGTTTCAACTTAAAAGCAATTTCTGCCAAACCTCTATGACATCATGTTTGAATGACTCTGATAGTACTCTTGAATAGTGCATTGAGGGGCTGGGAAGGTGGCTCAGTGGTAGAGTGCTTGCCTTGTATGCATGAGGCCCTGGGTTCGATTCCTCAGCACCATATAAGCAGAAAAAGCCAGAAGTGGGTGCTGTGGCCCAAGTGGTAGAGCACTAGCCTTGAGCTGAAGAGCTGAGGGACAGCATCCAGGCCAGAGTACAGGCCCCAAGACCGACCCCTCCCCCCCAAAAAAATAGTTCAGTGAGTGAACCACTTCCCATGACTTTCATGCAAACCAAAATAGAAATGAACTATTGATTCCTTTTTAAAAAAATGTCTTAACAATGTTTAAGCTCTTTAAAATACTTGAGGAGAAAGAAGGTTTAAGATGTGTGCCAGTTACAAGAAGATCCATCATTCTATATCAAATATTTTGGAAGATTGTGTTTATGTAATTGTTATGATTCAACATTTTGATATAACTTGAAGCTTTAAAAGCAGCAGCCACTACTTTCTTCTTGATGGCATTTCATTTTGAATTCTTGGGAAGATTACATGTAGTAAAGGTTTAACTGCACTTAATCTTTTTTTTCCCATCTCTAGGCAAATGATTTCCTAGGAAAGAGTTTTCATAGTGGGTTTTCAGTACTGATTCTTATGTCTTCTTTTTTCTTTAGGACTGCTCTCATGCTGGCTTGTGAGATTGGCAGCTCACACACTGTGGAAGCCTTAATTAAAAAGGGTGCAGACCTAAACCTTGTAGATTCTCTTGGACACAATGCCTTACATTATTCCAAACTCTCAGAAAATGCAGGAATTCAAAGCCTTCTATTATCAAAAATCTCTCAGGATGCTGGTATGTGAAAGAAAATAGCCAATGTTGTTTTAAATTTTTATGCACTCCATTTTCCCCAAAGGATAAAGGAATGTATGCAATATGATATGTTTTATTATTCTTTTAGACATATCCTTGAGGAAAAATGAAGTGTTAAGTGGGACGTGTATGTGTGTGTGTGTGTGTGTGTGTGTGTGTGTGTGTGTGTGTGTGTGTGTGTCCATGTCCATGTCCCTGTATCCCTGTGTCCACCCAAAGTAGATAAGAGATATGAGTCATAATGGTTCTTATAGTTCTTTTGTCACTTTTTCTTCTTTAGATTTAAAGACCCCAGTGAAACCAAAGCAGGTATTTATGTTAGGGGATGGTGATTGTTTGTTTGTTTTAATCTTTTGTTGTGGGAATTTGAAAATGTTCAGATCTAACTGTATTTTATTAGTAACATGATACATGTACTAATGTCAAAAAACTTAGACTCAAATATCCTTGGCATACATAATCCATAGTTATAAGGCAACAAATATTTTCTTAATGATTTATTTCCAAAGCATGTAACTAGAAACTTACTACTTATATATTGTTATCCTTTTCTGAAATATACTAATAATTCCTACCTTTGTGAAAAACATTTGATGAGATTTAAACTCTGAGATTGAATAACAATATTTTAATTACTGGTAATATCACAAACACGACAGACCTGTAACCATAAAAATTTTATCTAGGAAATGGGCTTCCCTTTTAGGTTTACATTTTTTAAAGGAGTAAACTGCATTGTATTAAGATGGAAAGCTGAATATATTCTAAGTTATGATAGACACCTCCTTATGCTCTACTTTCCTAGTCCTCCATATCTACTTAATCTGATTTTATCCTATTTATTTTATCTTCTTGCTATGAAAATATGGGCTGCTAAGAGAGAATGTAGAGCATGCATATTATTTTTTTGTTGGTAACAGATTTCAGATTTTCATGAAGTAAAAAATGCATGAACTGTTGAGGTTTTTCTCATTTGTTTGATGAAGCTACTTGCTGAGACTTTACTAACCTAACTAACCCACCTCCGTTCTTGGACTGTATAACTTTCAGCATGATCAAGTCTCTAAAATAAGCTCAGAAAGAAGTGGAACTCCAAAAAAACGCAAAGCTCCACCACCTCCTATCAGTCCTACCCAGGTAAAAACAAAAGCAAGCTAACGATCAACCGGCATATAACAAGGCTGTCGTTCTGTGTTTAAGCCAAAACAAAATGTTTTCACCTGGCCCTTCAGTACACACTTAAAATTTCCTGTAATACTTTTAAATTATAAATGGTGGGGTTGGTGATGCAGTTCAATGGTAGAACGCTTGCCTAGCAATGTAAGAGGCCCAGGAATAGATCCCAGGCACTACAAACAAACAAAAAAGCAAATTTACAAATTGCGTTAGAATTTTATTAGGATGGAAATAATGTGTGTGTTTTTAATCTCTTCTAAAACTGTAGAATCGTGCAGTTTATATTTTTTAAAGCCTCATGGAAATATCTCAAGATCTTATGACAGGCATGCTCCCCTTAAGATAATAAGCTCAGGACCAGTATTAGGTCCTCATATTAACAGTTCTAGTAAGGGGCAGGGGGAGGGAGAGGAGAGGTAGTTAAGATGAAAATATACTTTAGTTGGTTATTTAAAACATGGCTAAAATGTATTTGCCTCTCTAATTACATTTATGATCAGCTAGTAGTAAAACTAGTTTTTATTTCTGAGCTTGTAGTAAAAAAGGAAACTCAGAAATATAAGGTAGCAAGTTTAAACAGATTAGGATTTATTTTTATGAAAAACATAGGTCATAGGGAAAGAATCCATTTTTAAGTAGTAGACAGGAATGTCTCATCTGATAATTTTAAGAACATGTTAAATATTCTCAACCTGCAAGAGGAATTTTATAGATTTAAAAATCGTTAATATAGGAATAAGTTTACTTAGTTATACTCTGCAAACTTTCAAAAATATTTGAAGTAGCTGGAAAGACTTGAAGATGTTTACCCAGAATTTATTAAGCGAAGAATACTTATTGTTAGTTTAACAGCAAAGTTCATACTGTTGGTTTGTCAGCCGTGGAAAGTAAAAGTTTGAAATTAGGTTCTTAACTAGCAATTTCATTTTGTTTTTTAAGTTGAGTGATGTGTCTTCTCCAAGATCAATAACTTCCACACCACTTTCGGGAAAAGAATCAGTGTTTTTTACTGAAGTGCCATTCAAGGTATTTCTTTTCTGTGTTTATTTTTGTTACTGTATTTTAAGATTTGTAATAGGCTTGCTTAGAATTGCACAAAGCTGGAGAAATGCATACTTCCAAATCATTGGTTTACAACCTTTTCACCATGAAGGACTCTTGGATTATTTTTCCTGGTATGGGTACCATGAAACAATAATATAGAAAAGAAATCATACTTACTAACAAGAATTGGCTGCCTTTTCATACAAAGAGACAAACACCATTTAGATGGAATCTAAAATACTTGAACTCATAGAAGCAGAGAGTAGAATGTCTTACTCTAGGGGTAGGAGTGGAAAGGTATGAGCCAAGTAAAAGAAATACCTCAAGGAATAAATTCAAAAAACATATTGTAAACATAGTCACTAGTTTATAACAATGTGTTGTATTTTTCAATTTATTTCAAGTACATTTTAAGTGGTCTACTCACAGAAAATGATAATTGTATGAGATAAAAACTAAGCTCAGGGGGCTGGGAAGGTGGCTCAGTGGTAGAGCGCTTGCCTTGCATGCCTGAGACCCTGGGTTCGATTCCTCAGCACCACATAAGCAAAAAGAAAAAAAAGCCGGACGTGGCGCTGTGACTCAAGTGGTAGAGCGCTAACCTTGAGCTGAAGAGCTGAGGGACAACGCCCAGGCCAGGACCCAAAAAAAAAAAAAACAACTAAGCTCAGTTTAGCCATTGTACATTATATATGTATTTCAGAACATCATGATATACATAATATATACAGTTTTATAGACATAAGATATAGCCATATAATGGAATATTTCTCAGCTATAAAAGGGAATGAATGAACTGTGTGAAGTACAAGCATCATCATGGAAGTATCTGAAAATCATATGAAGAATAAAACAAGACAGCTGCAAAAATTTCCTTGTAAGACATTCCCCTACAGCAGCTTTAGAAAAAACAATAGAAAACCACTCAAATGTATGCTGTAGAACATTGTCTGGAGATTCTGATTATTGTACTAAAGTGACAAAAAGAAAAAAAATCAAAATTAAAAAAGCAAAATCACTAGAAACAAAAAAAACTACTGTCATGTGACATGATTATTTGTGTAGAAAATTCTAAGAAAGCCGCCACCATGGTAAGAATAAATTGATTTAGGATGATAGAAGGACACAGGGTCAATACAGAATTATAAAATTAAGTATGAAAAATATGCCATTCAAAAATAAAAACAAGAAGCCTAAGTATTAATTGGAGAAATGTATGTACAATCTTTAGCCTGAAATGGACAAAATATCAATAATAAAAATTATAGAGGATGTTAATACTTTTAAAAAGAAAGAAGAGGAGAACAATTGCTGTCTGTGACTTGGGGAGTCAAGGGCAGGGACTGACTATAACAAGGCAGGAGGAAATGCATGGTCCTGAATATAGTCTGTATCTGGATTACAGGGCCCCCTATGGATATGCATGTGTCAGAACCTTTAAACTAAAGCTGGAATGTAGTTCAATGGCAAAGAGCTTGTCTAGCACCCGCAACATCCTTGGTTCAATTACCAGTACAAAAAAAAAAAGAACCTCCAGATAGCAAATTTAGAACAGTTCATTGACTTGGGGGAAAAAAACTAAGTACTTGGAAAAATAAGAAAGAATAAAGAAAGGGCAATTTTTTGTAAAGATAAGCATGTGCCAAACTAAGCTGCTTAATTTCTAACATTAAGGCTTTTACAGAAGTTCCTTTCAGCACAGTGATCTCTTATCATTATTTGTGGCTCATCTAGATGAAACACAGTCATTTCTGCCAAGTTATGTTGTAAAATGAGAATCTTGAAATGAGGGTCTGCCTTTGAAGTTCTAAGGTTTCTTTTTGTAACATTAACAGATATTCATGGACAGAGGTAAGCTGTAGAGATAGGAGATAGGTATGCAGGGTTAGAGGAATGGTTTGGAAGATCAGTTGTCAATCTAAGACCACCCAAATTTTTATTCGCTTATAAAATTGTAGTTACCTTCCTCCCATACAGGACTTATTTATTACCATTTCTCTTAGAAAAATTAGTAACAATATATTAACAGAAGATAATTCTAAAAATAATGAAGCTAAAAATAGCCACTTTATATTTTTAAATGTATGGGCCAGATAAATAGAACTGTCTGAGTTCATTATCAAAATTATTTTCTTCCTCAGATTTAGGATCAGTAAAGGAGCCTGTTATATAAGATTGTTATAATTTAAATATATTTGTACTGTACTCCCTAAATGACATTTCTGAAACATTCCTGAAGCATTTATTATTGTCTGCAGCTTCTGAGGGTTCAGAAATTATATCTTAGTAGGTAATTTTCACTTTAGTTCATTTTTGCTTTTAAATGTCTTTTTGCTTTGGAACTTTCTTATTGTTTTTCTAATAGCTCTGCTGGCTTTAAACTCAAAGAGAAAAATCTATTTGATGTTTTGGTGTAATCTTCTGCATGTAGAAGCATTCTTTTAAGTCATTTTTGTGTTTCTGCAGGCTGAGATTAGTTCTATCCAAGAAAACAAAGAAAGACTCAGTGACAGTACTACAGGTAAGATAAAGAAGAATCTTATTTTGTTCCTTGGATCATACTGTGTTTACACCATGTCCATAGAACAAGAACAGAGGCCCGCCTGGTCCTCCAAGCAGGGAGCTGGTCAGACCCAGCCTGCCACTTGTCAGAGCAACCAATGAACAAGCAGCACTGTACTGTAAAGATCTTAACGTGGACTTTAAAGTGTGTCTGAGTTTAGATGTAAAAAAATAATAATAATACATTTCTATATTCATTTTTCTCTTAAGTAAATGTTAGCATTTCCTTTTTATAAAGATTGACAAAAATATAATACTTATAATAAGACCAGGGAAACAATTCACAAACAATTTCTGATAACCTTACTGTTTTGCAGATATATTAAAATGACATTCATAATATCTCCACTGTAAATTAATGGCATTGATTGGACCTGCATTTTTATTTTGATATTTATCTTGATATCTTTAGACTACCACAGCCTGTGTATTTTATGCATTTAAAAATGACTGTTCTGAGCAGCATCTACATGCTTTAAACTGTCACTAACAGCAGATAGTGATAAGCAGCAAATCATAGCAGAAAAATAAAAAGAACCTGCACCTTGGTCTAAACAAGGTCTAACCATGCCATCACAGTCTAATTGAGATAAAAGTTTACGCAAAGATAGTGTTTTTGGAACCATAGACAATCATATTGTCTTTACCAAAACCAAAATCAGGTTTGATTCATTCTATCTTCTGAAAGTTTCTAAGATCCATGAGTTCAAGGTCAGCCTAGGCTACACAGAAAGTCCAGATCTCAATTAAAAAAAAAATGTTTAGAAAGAAAAAGGACCCTCTTAAAGAACAGATTTCTAGTGATGTATTATATTTCTAAGAATGTAGTACTGTAGTCTGTAGACTACACTCTGAATAATACAGATCTAATTATTTTTTCTGTTAATTTTTTATTTTCTCAGCCATTTAACATAGATATGAAAACATCAATCTTAATTTGGATTAATGTAAAACATTTTTTTTACAGAATAGCTTGCTTCTGATATGAGGCACTTTAACAAGCTATTCTGTTAAAAAAAAATAGGAATAGTTTACAGACTATTAGCTGGCGGTGAAAAATGAGTTGCTCATGTCATCCAGCTGCGCACACCATTTTGTCCAGCAGAGATTTCTTGCCTAGGAAGATTTTTAGGTGAAGAAAGCAATACATTGCATTCCATCTGGAACAAGTTCCTTGCCTCAATGAGCATTTGAGTAGCACTGCTTCAGATGCTCTTTGGGCATGATGATCCATACAGTGTTTAAAAAGAAACAACACACACCAAAAACCACTTGGTTTGCCAACAACAGTGATTACAGTGGGATTCAGAGAAGCAATTCTAATGTCATGCTAGGCTGGTCATCAGATGCTTCAAATAGGAAAGTTATACCTGGATCCATGTCAGTAGAGATAAAGCAAAGGCAGTCATGTGAGTGAAACAGTAAGTGAATTAAATGCATGGTGAGAACATAGGAGATAGAATTGAAACCAAGAGTCCGTGAAATAGGAAAGATGTAGGGAGTTGAAACCTGAAAAGGTTTGGTGGGGGCCAGACACAGGGACCTAAGCCCATATAAAAGAATGTGGAGATTATTTTTTGAGGAAGAACAGTTAACACATTTGAACCAAAGGAATGATCCATTCCAAATATGTTTTAGTCTATTATTCTTGTATAGAGAAAAGAAAGGAGCAGAGATTTGTTGGAAAGCCATTTTGCAGTTTCTAAGGAAATGCTAAACACCTGAACTAGAGCACTAGAGACAAGAAATTAACCAGATAACAGAAATAGTTCTGAAAGGATTCATAGAATTGGGAGTTAGGTGGAACAAGGAATAACCAAAAAAGAAAAAAAAATCAAGATAAGACCATCTAGTAAATGAAAAATGATATGACCACATCCATTTTCAGAATCGGCTTCTGTACAGTTAAATTTTGTATTGTGCTAGCAATTCCATAGTGAGAAAATAGCAGCATCGGAAAAGTGCTTTCCTCTCTCCAGCTGGGGGAGGATCTAGGAGGAGAAACGAGAGGAAGATGTGTTTGTTGGAAGTAAAATGACAGCTTAATCCCCTTTTGAATATTCAGATTGCTTTCTTTCTCTTCTAAGGAGCTGATAGCTTGTTAGATGTAAGTTCTGAAGCTGACCAGCAAGATCTTCTTGTCCTATTGCAAGCAAAAGTTGCTTCCCTCACCTTACACAATAAAGAGTTACAAGATAAATTGCAGGTAGGTGAATAAATTGCTACCATGAACTCTTCTTTAGATTCAAGCAGTTGGTCTTCCCAAGGGTAGTCAGGTGCATTTTGTTTTAAATATTTGCATAAGTTTCTTCCTTTTCAATATGTAGTTACTGTTGCAGTTGTATTTGTTTCTTAGAGTGTTGTTCATTATCTCTTTCTGTAAATTGCTAAGTCATATAAAGTATGTTGTAACTTAAAGTAGATTATATATTTATATATTTTATGTATATGTGTATTATATATAAAGTACCTTATACATTATATACTAGATTATATATCCATGCAATATGGTGTCAACTATATTTTAAATTTTTTAATAGACTATATAAACAATTTACATAAAATTCATAAGAACTTTACATTTCTTTAAAAATATGTGTCAGTATAGATCAGCTGTTCATTTAGTAAATTTGATCATTTAGCAATCTTAAGAAATTGATAAACAATAGCTATACTTTGTCCTTTGCCCTCCTGGGCAACTAGAGTGATATGTGGAACAAAGAAAAACTTTGAAAACACTGCCAGCATCCTGGCTCACCCATATCCCAGCTATGCAGGAAACGTAAATAGGAGAATTGTGGTCCAGACTGGCCCAGATATAAATAAGAAATCCTATTCAAAAAGTAACTAAAGCAAAAAAAAAAAAAGGGTGAGGTATCTCAAGTGGTAGGGTACCTACCTAGCTACAGTGAGGCCCTGAACCCAAACTCTTAATACCACTCAAGAACAAGATAAAATAGCCTGGTGCTGGTCTCTCACACTTGTAAACCTAGCTACTCAGGAAGCTAAGATCTCAGGATCCCAGTTCAAAACCAAGCTAGACAAAGAAGTCCCCATGAGACTCTTATCTCTAATTAACCACTCAAAAACTAGAATGGTGCTGTGGCTCAAAGTGGTAGAACACTAGCCTTGAGCAGAAGAGCTTACAGGGACAGTGCCCAGACCCTGAGTTTAAGCCCCACAACTGGAGGGGGGGGTAAAAATAGACAAATAATTTGCCCTGATAAATGAGTAAGTGATGAATGATATAATTGGTTTAGCCCTCATGTACCAGAGCATTGTTTTTCTTGGTGCAAGCATACACATGCAGAAAGATCTTACTGCTTTTCAATACTAAAATTCAGATTTGTTCCTCTGTTTCAGTCACCTAACCATACCTAATTCCTTTCTAGGCAAAATCATCCAAGGAGGTGGAAGCAGACCTAAGCTTTGATGCTTTTCATTCTACTCAGACTGACCTGGCTCCATCCCTGGGCAAGCCTAGTGAAGGCCCTCCCTCAGACTCCAAATCATCTCCATCAGTCTTAGCACATTCTTTGAGGAAATCCACTGTTGACAGCGATGCTAGAATCCAGCAACTACAAGAGACTTTGCAAGACTTGCAGAAGAGATTAGACAGCTCTGAGTCAGAGAAGCAGCAGCTACAAGCTGAACTTCAGTCTCGAAATGCAGACCGGGTGTGCTTGAATAGCACAGAGATTTCAGAGAATGGCTCTGACCTCAGTCAGAAACTGAAAGAAACTCAGACCAAGTACAAGGAGGCCATGAAAGAGGTCCTCAGTGTACAGAAGCAGATGAAACTGGGTCTCCTCTCCCATGAGAATGAGGATAGCTATTCACCTCTTAGTGAGGCAGGAATCACTGATGAGATAGATGTGCTAAAGCAAGATCTGCAGAATGCATTGGAAGAAAGTGAAAGAAATAAAGAGAAGGTGAGAGAGTTAGAAGACAAACTTGTGGAGAGGGAAAAAGGTGGAGGGATGAAGCCACCTGCAGAAGAGTATGAGGAAATGAAAAGTTCATATTGCTCTGTCATTGAGAATATGAATAAAGAGAAAGCATTTTTGTTTGAGAAATACCAAGAGGCCCAAGAAGAAATCAAGAAGTTAAAAGACACATTACAAAGTCACGTGACACAGGAAGCCAGCGATGAAGCTGGAGACATGAAAGAAGCCATGAACAGGATGATAGATGAACTCAATAAACAGGTGAGTGAGCTGTCCCAGCTCTACAAGGAAGCTCAGGCTGAGCTGGAGGATTACAGGAAGAGGAAATCTCTAGAGGATGTGACGGCAGAGTATATCCACAAAGCTGAGCATGAGAAATTGATGCAAGTGACCAATGTGTCCAGGGCTAAAGCAGAAGAGGCGCTATGTGAAATGAAGTCTCAGTATTCAAAAGTGTTGAACGAGTTAACCCAGCTCAAACAACTTGTGGATGCACAGAAAGAGAACTCTGTGTCCATCACAGAACATTTACAAGTGATAACCACACTGCGGACTACTGCCAAAGAGATGGAAGAAAAAATCAGCCATCTGAAAGAGCACCTTGCAAGCAAGGAAGTGGAAATAGCAAAGCTGGAGAAACAGCTCCTGGAAGAGAAAGCCACAATGAATGATGCGATGGTACCCAAATCTTCTTATGAGAAGCTCCAATCATCCTTAGAAGGTGAAGTGAGTTTGTTGGCAGCAAAATTAAAGGATTCAGTCAAAGAAAAAGAGAAGGTCCATTCAGAGGTGGCCCAGGTTCGAAGTGAGGTGTCACAAATGAGAAGGGAAAAGGAAAACATTCAAACTCTCTTGAAAGCCAAAGAGCAAGAAGTAAATGACCTACTGCAGAAATTCCAGCAGGCTCAGGAAGAACTTGCTGAAATGAAAAGGTCTTCTGAAAGCTCTTCAAAACTAGAGGAGGATAAAGACAAAAAGGTAGGTGAATTTCGATTGTTGTTGAGCTTCTAGCAGTAAGTTGTAGGCTCTTCAGTTGTAGGCTCTTGCACTGTGCTAGATGTTTACAGGATTTGTTAGGAAGGCTCAGGCTCTGTGCCTGTCACTATCTGTCCTTAGAATAGTATGTTGTGCCACTGTAATGCCTATTCAGGAGGTGTCCAGGATAGTTAGTTCAAGGCCAGCCAGGCTGAGCCACATAGGCCCCATTTCAAAAGCAAAGAAAGAATAGTTAGTTGGAAATTGAGCTGCCACACTGCCATATACTGAATGCATTTTCTTTATTTTTTTAAAATTGTATTATCTTTAAATGGTTGTACAAAGAGGTGCCCATTCTACAAAACAGTATATGAATACAGAGTGTCTGATAACATTGTCACCCATGGCTCCTAACCCACCCCTTTTCTCTTTTCTTTTCTTTTTTTTTTTTTAATTGAGATGAGGTAAATACATAAATTTCATGTTTCACAGTATTATGGAATAGTGATACTTAAAGTCACAAACACAAATTGTCATTATCATGGTCTATAAAGTTTGTGAATTCTATGAGCTTTGATAATACTATAAAGTCTCAAGGCTTGGCCAAGGAATGTGGGGAGCAGGGCGTTTGGAGATGGCACTGGATGTGGCCCTGAGATGGGAGGGAAGCGAAGATCAAGTTCAGGGTGGTTCTTACTGAGTCTGCTCTGCATTCCGGGTCTCCTGCCACTGGAAGCGCTGAATAATACAGGGGCATGATTCATCTTTACCTTTTTTTTTGTTTGTTTTTTTGTTTTCTCTCAAAACTTTTTATTTTTTTTAATTTTATTTTATTTGTGAACATACTGTACAGAGGGGTTACAATTACATGGGCAGGATAATGCATACATTTCTTACCAAGCATTGCAGCCTCCTCCTTTGTTTACCCTTCACACCCCTTCCCAGCCTCCCCCCTCCCAATCCCAATCCTTCCCCTTCCCCCCCACCCCCACACTGACGTTGCTCACGCCTGTAATGCTAGCTACTCAAGAGGCTGAGATCTAAGGATCGTGGTTCAAAGCCAGCCCAGGCAGGAAAGCCCTTGAGACTCCAATTAACCACCAGAAAACCAGAAGTGGTATTGTGGTTTAAGTGGTAGAGTGCTCAACCTTGAGCTGAAGAGCTGAGGGACAGTTCCTGCACCCAGAGTTCAAGACCCATGACTGACCAAAAAAAAAAAAGTGCTTGAAGAATAGCTTTGAAAGCTGATGGTGTAGAATAACAGAAGTGCTAAGCAAGACAGGAGGTTTTGTATTCACTAAAAGCAAGATAGCCAGATGTCAGGGTTCTTAGGACTTAGTCCTGATTGTCCATTTCAGCACTGTGTCAGCCATACTGGACAAGACAAATATCTTCAAATAAGAAATGGTTCTCAATTTTGTTCTTAGTTTTTAACCAGTAATACCTCTTTTAAGGGTAAAGGAACCTGATTTCATAGTGTCTGTTACCTTCATACATCAAAATAGGTAATTCAGGAGGAGCCTTTAATCAGATTTGGAGGGATTTAGTTTGCCAGGTTATGTCATTTCACCTTATGGGAGAGAGGTGGGTAAGGAGAGAGGAGAGAAGAGAAAGTAGAGTAGAGTAGCTGGGCACCAATGGCTCACTCACACCTTTAATCCTAGCTACTCAAGAGGGTGAGATTTCAGCCTACTCAACTCAGGCAGGAAAGTCCTTGAGACTCCAATAACTGACCAAAATCCACAGTGTTTTTGTTGCTCTAGTGGTAGAGTGCTAGCCTTGAGCCAAAACACTAAGGGATGGTGGCCTAGGGCCCTAAGTTCAAAGTCTCAGAACAAGCACACCAAAAATAAGAGAATTCTTCTAGTTTCTCAAGTCCTAAAAGCAGATAGAAATGACTTATGTTGAAGGCCTAGAAATCTCTGGAATTTTGCTTCTGTAGACACAGTAGTGCCTATTGATACCAATTTTTCCCCCATGCACTAGATAAATGAGATGTCAAAAGAAGTCAGCAAATTGAAGGAGGCCCTGAACAGCCTGTCTCAGCTCTCCTACTCAACCAGCTCCTCCAAAAGACAGAGCCAGCAGCTGGACACACTGCAACAGCAGGTCAAGCAGCTTCAGACACAGCTGGTCGTGAGTGGATTTCTTTCTACTGCCTAGTTTGGGGGGAGGCTGAGGGAGATGACATTCCAGCCTAGATGACCATGGGAAGGATGCTTAGCCTAAAGGAGGGTTAGGCTTCAGTGAGCAGCCGACTGAGGACTGCTCTGGTGAGGACAAATGAAAAAAAAAAATACTGGTGGGATTGCCAGGTGTCCTCTGTACTTGAGGTGGGTTAATGCACTGCTGGGAAGGAGGGAATCGAGCTGCTGGTCACACACCTGCTGACATGGCATCTACCCACTCCCATTTCACACCTCCTTATTTTTCCAGAGTGGTCTTTCTCTGTCTCTGGTAATAGTGAGGGCATTTTGCTTACAGGGATCATGCTCTTTGCGATTGTGTATCTACATATTTGAAGCAGCTTCTCAGACAGTCTTACTGACCCAAGAAAGCCCTTTCCTCTCTGTTGTTTCCTGTGGGTGTTGTAATAAATCACTGCAAACTTGGATTAAAGCCACATGCATTTATTATCTTAGGTTTCTCAAGATTGGAAGTCTGAAATGGATTTTACTAAAGGGTTTACTTAAGGGCTTACTAGAGTAAGGTGAGGATATTGACTTGGTTCCTTCTGGAAGCTTTAAGGGAAAAATCTTTTTTTTTTTTTTATTTGTGAAGATACTGTACAGAGGGGTTACAATTACATGGGCAGGATAATGCGTACATTTCTTACCAGGCATTGCAGCCTCCTCCTTTTGTTTACCCTTCACATCTCTAAGGGAAAAATCTTAACTTTTTTATGTTTGTTTTTGTGTTTGTTCATTGTGTTCTCTCCTTAACTTTCTAGCTTCTACAGGCCACCTTCTTTCCTGGGTTATGGCCCCTGTCAATTTCAGGGATATCATTTCAACTTCTGCATCTATATTCCCAGTTCTTCCCTCTGCCTTACTTGTAGTGCTTTTATAAAGATCCTTATGATAGCATTTGAAGCCTGCTCAATCTATGATAATCTCTCATTCCATCTCTAAATCTTGAATAATATCTGCAAAGATCCTTTATACCATATAAGGCCACATTTACAAATGCTAAGACTTAGTATGTGATCACCTTTGGACAGCCATTATTTAGCTTACTTAAGTGTCTGTAAGATAATTAATGAGGCAAGGGAATGACATTTTTTTTATACAAGTTAAGGTTTATCTTATCTACAGTTTGCATTTACAGACAGACATACATCAAGTAAGTTCTTCAGTATAAACTAAATTCTAATGAATTCTGTTTTCTACATTTCTTACTCTGGTTGGGCTCAAAGTAGAATCCTAGCTCTTCGGTGTTAAGAGCTTTAGCAGAATAATTTGGCGGAATAATTTGGAGAAGATGGTTCTTACTGTATTATGCAGGTCATTCTCCTTATAAAATGGTTATTTCAGATTCTAAAGATCCTTCAGCCTGTGTTTATCGAGCTCTTGTTTAAGTATTGCATATGATATCAAGGTTATACAAATGAGCAAGACACAGCCCTTGCTTCGTGGGATTCATACCCAAAACATAGGAATATAGTGAGCATCCACTGACATGCAATGACACACAGAGGAAAAGTGTCTACCCCGCCTGTAAGAATCATAGAAAGCTTCCACAGGAGGTGAGCCTTATGCTGAATCTTGAAGCGATGAATAATGACTCCCCATTACTCAGAATTGAATGTGTCACTCAGATGACCTTTGTCAACTCTTAATCCTTTCCACCATTCCTGTGGAATGTGGGGTAGATTCTGAACTGCAGGTGATTGTCACTGAAGTGAATGAGAAGGTGACATGTAATCAGAACTGCAGTATTGAATGATGTCAGCAATTTTAGAAGATTCATATGCCAGCATATAGTAGAATAAAGCAGTTGTATAGAATCAGGGGAGCTTTCTCTGAATAATGTGTTTCTGTTCTTTAATGATCTAAGCTTGCCAATCACATCCAATTATCTCTCTCTAGGAATGCAAGAAACAACACCAGGAGGTCATATCAGTTTATAGAATGCATCTTCTGTATGCTGTGCAGGTACGGTGCAATGTCTGGACATCCTAAAGAAATACAGTAGCAGATGCTGCCAAAATTCCCACCATTCAATGAGTAGAATGAACAAGAATGAGGGGAGATGCTTCCATTTGAAAAGCTTGTGCTTTGTTTTGGATTTTGTGTCCAGAGCTTTGTGCTGTTTACTAGGAACAGCCTCATCATATATTGAGAAGATGGGGCTGCTGTGCCTCATTAGGAAGACCCAGGTTTTGTATTATCAGAGCACTCAATACTTCCTTTCCTCTCTATTTGTTGATGCTCTGTCTGGCGAGGCTCACATTAACAACTGACTTCAGGTACCCCATCCCTCTTTGGTAGGCTTTGACAGACTAAGATTCATAGTACCCTCAGTTTGACTCAGGCCCTCACAAACTTGTAGGAAATGATAGGAATGAATGATATTCTCCTGAAAGTTAGAGGGAATAAACTGAAGACTTCATCACAGCCTGCCATCTCATTCCCCAGGAAAATGGGTGTTATGACTTCATGGAGGTTCTAATGAATGTCTTTTGTGAATTTCCTAGGGCCAGATGGATGAAGATGTCCAGAAAGTCCTGAAGCAAATCCTGACCATGTGTAAAAACCAGTCCCAGAAGAAGTAAAAGTGGATTGCTTGGCAGGACAGTACCCCTTGTTGTCTAGCTTTGTGTTAGATCCAGTTGTTGGCGACCACTGCCATTGTTCTTATTCGTGGTATGCACTGTGATGTAGCATAGCTTCTTTCCTTCTAAAGGTTTCTGAGGACTACTCTCAGGAGAAGAGGCCCTCTTCAGAACCGCTTAGAGACTTCACACCAGCAGAGGGAAATGTCCCTGACATCCTTTGAGATTCCATAGCTGGGACCTGCCATACCCAGGGGTCTGGTCCTGATGTTGGCCACCCTCCTTGGTGGGTGAACGGCTTCACAAGTATCAAGTGATCTGCTGAGCTTACCATGAAGTGACTGACAGCTGCTTCAGTGCCTGCCCTTCTGCTGTGTCATTAGCACAGGAGAGCTCTTTTTGCCTTTGGCTTCCAATCCCAAAACGTGATTTCATCTCTGGCCAAATTATTAGGACATTAGCTATGCCTACCCTTTATCATGATAATCCTGTGGATTTTTTAAAAAAACTATACTCTCATTTTTCCCCAAGCTGCCATACATCTTATCACCCTGCTAATCACTTTATAACTTGATGAGTACTGCTCACTAAAATATGAAATCTAAAAATAAAAGCAAACTGTCCTTTAAGGGATCTTTCCTTTTTTAAGTAAATCATTGACATATTGCAAATTTTCTATGCAAACTTGCCTCCTGCTATTATCCATGAAGCTCAGGAAATCCAAATATTTGTATTTCAACAAGGGACAGTAAACTGTGTGTTTACAGCCAAAAGTAATGCCTCATAGTTCCTAACCTCAATTTTTTAAAGTGTTTTTTTTCTCTATAGTATTTTTATTGGCTCCTAAAGAGGTTTTCCTATCTCAACCCCTAAATAAGTAAAATTACACTAGATTATATGAACGAAATATTTTTAGGTAACCGTGCTTGCCTCCTATAAAACATTTTTCCCTCCAGGTTTTCAGCTCAACATGAACCAGTCTCCCCTCAAACTTGCTGCCACTGTCTTCTCCAGACTCGTAGTACATTTCTAAATATAATCGATTCTCTTTTTTACTGATTGAATATTTTGGAATGTCCCCACTCTACAAGTGGCCATCAGTTACCTCTTTAAGGCTTATTATTAGTATCAGTCAGTTTTTCAACTTTGAAATAAAATCCTGATGTGGTAAAATGGTGCAGAGTGAAAGTCTTGGGGGGAGGGGTACTTCTGTTCACTTTACTTTTAGGTTATTCAGAAAGTGTTTCTAACTTGCTTGCAGCTTGTCTTATTGTATTGATCTTGAGGGAGATAAATAGAAGACTCCACTTTTAGTCAATAGCTGAAAGTGGAGGCCTCTTCCAACAGGGCCCATGTGTACCACAGGGCTGCCTGGCTCCAAGGGTGCTTGGCTCAACTGGAAGATGTGTTCATTTGTACTGGATGAGAACCAATGACAGCAAAACAAAAATGGCTTTAAGCTTGGTGGTGTTGTTTTAATTATAGTGCAGCAATTCCAAATATGCTCCGAAGAAATGTGAAAGGACTTTTTGTCACAACACTTAAGAAAATACAAAACAATCCCCACCCCCCTCATTCTGCCACCCCTCCCTCACCCTTGCACAGAATGCTGCAGAGTATAAAACTTGAGACATTTTGTAGGATGCCTGACAAAATGTATGTAGCCCTTTATCTTGTTTCAGGATGCATATTTATTACAAGTACTCTGGTTAAATATTGAAAAGTTATATGCTGTAGTTTAGTCTTTCGTCTTTGTAATTTACAGAAATAATTGCAGAAAATAAACTTGTTTCGTTTTGCATCTCTTGTGTCAGCTTTTTTTTTTTTCCTGTGTTCATAAGTGTGAAGTGGCTTCGGAAGCTCCATCACATTTAATATCCTGAATGATGGTGAATGGTGGGAGGGGTCCCCTCTCTCACACTAAGTCTTAGGCCATCCTGTCTCCCACACTGCTCTAGGTAGCAGCCACTTGGGGGCAGGTAGATCACAGTCCTTTAATTCAGGATTGCCTCTTGTTTGAGCTGTGTTGTTTATATCTGTTTGGAAGATTTCACTGGATTTATTTCCCCTCTTGTTTTCCTCTTTTCCCTTAAAAGTAGTACATGGTTTAAAACAATTGAATAATCAATAATAATAATAATTTTGTTCTTACATAAACTTTGTTAGGACAGATTCCAAGGGTCTTAGCATTTAACTTACCCATCTTAAGATCACATGATATGCTGTGTGGTGAGAAAACCAAGAACAAGTTGAAGCACCAGTTTGCAGTGTGATAGAACTTGGAATGCTAGTTGCTGACAACAGCAGATTGATTGATTCAGCAAAGATGGGGGGGTGATTTTTTTTTTTGGCAGAATTATAAGGCAAACTGCAACAAGAAAGTTGGAAAAAGCAATACACCAAGCAAGACATTTTTATGTCAGAAGAGAGACCTGCCAAGCATTATGGCAGTATATGGCCTATCGGAGAAATCAAAGTTCAACCAAGATACTCATCATAAATGGATCTTAAAATCTGGCTGAGGAAATGGGCAATGTGGCTTCCAGCCAGGGAAAGACTCCTCTGAGAAGTTAAGCCCCAAGAGATGGGGGACAGAAGGGAGGCGGGTTGTAGAGATTCCTTCACTTTTAATGCAAACCAGGCTCACAATGGGGTAACAACTCAGTGAATTTGAGAATTGATTAGGTATACCAGATTATAAAATGAAAAATGTTTTCGTTTTCTTTTTTAAGGTAGGAAAGTGAAGTCAGGTACAACCAAATGATATAAGCCCCTAAGCCAGAAGATGGTAAAGGGATTTTTAAAGCCATGAAAAATAAGTGCCCTCCCCCAAAATGTCCATCATTGTAATCCTTGGAACCTGTGAATCTGTTACATTATATGGCAAGGGATAATTAAAAACCTAAGCAGTTGAGCTGAAAATAGGATTATCCTAGATTGTTGGGTGAGCCTAATGTAACAAGAGGGACTTTTTAATTCCCTGTAGTTACTTTTTAATTACTGTACCCTTTGTGTTGTATATAAGTTTATCTGATTTGGGGGAGGGAAGAGGAATCACAGAAACCATGGGACAAAGGGTGAACCAATTCAACAGGGATACTCACGAGACACTGGACTGATTGGCCTAGGCTAGTGACTGAATACCACTTCTGAAAAATACAGGGTCCTTCTCATCTTTTGGTGGAGTTGATCTTTCCTTCCCTTCTTGTATCTTCACCTTGGAGAAGTAATAGCCTGGTGAGGAAGATTCAGAGCAGCCAGGGAAGTTCAGGGCCGAGTCTGAGGCTACACGTAGTCTTGTATAGGACAGCCCAGCAAGCTGCAGATGGCTAGGGCGCGTCCCAGGTTGCTATAGCTACTGTGTCTGCTTTCTGTTCCTAAGGCAACCTCATTGTCTGAATCCTGGGCTGAAGTAGGAGACCTAGCAGCAGGTCTAGCTTCCCCACATAACCCTTGTGGCACAGGGAAGGAGGTCTACCAGGCCAGGACTCTGAAGCTACCTGCAGGGGGTATCAGAGCAGCCCGGCCCAGGGAGGCTAGAAGGCTAGTTCCAGGTCGTGGCTTTTCAGCCATTGTCCAACAGAGAACTCATCTGCAGCCACAGGAACCTCAGGGGTAATGTCCATGGTAACAGTGGCCAGGAATCGGGGCTCGTGGAGGCAGGGTTTAATCAGTCTACAGAGTAACCTCTGTGGGAGAGAAGGCAGCAATGTGCCCATCCCACATATTCTAGGAACAGTAGGATGTGGGAGGTTGAGGGGGTCAGAACCCCTAGTTTTGAAAATAGGGTTTAGAAAGAGAAATTACTTATCGACTCTTCTAATTCTGGATTATAGGTCAAGGAAAGCGCCTTGGATCTCCCCAAGGAATGAGTGAAATGGGTGAATGAGGAACAGCTTAATACATGCTGATGCTCAGTAAATATGCATTCCCCGTGGATGTAAGAGACAGGATTAGCCTTGAGACGTGGATAATTGTAAATCATATTTTCCACCATGCATAAGTTTTACTCCAGTGCAGTGGCTCCTAGGAAGAGGAGGAGAATTAATATGCTAGATATATTTCATTTAATACATCTAAAAGATGTAAAGGAGAAGATTTTTGAGTTGTTTTTTAAATTTTCATTTAATTTGTTTTTAAGTCCAGGCATTCTGTAGAAGGAATGTGGAGCAGAAAGCAGGAAAAACAAAGGCCTCTAATTTCTGCTTCCAAGTAGTCTCCACACATGAATTTACATAATTTTTGTGACTTACATTTGACCATTTTAATACTAGTAGTTTCTATTCAATGCTACTAAATGTTTAGACGCTACTATTTAATGTTGGTATCGTTTGATGTCTAAATAAAACCAGCTTCTAAGATTGTTTTTAAAGTTAAACTCAACAGTTCAAGCCCCCCCCAAAAAAAATAAAGTTAAACTCACATGTGATTCTTGGTAGGAAGATGCCAGCCAACCCCATCTACATTCCAACTGTTACCAATGACACCGATTGGAACTTCTGCTTTCACCTGTAAGTACCATGGAATCTTGCTTGACATCAAACGAACTCAATGACAACCTTCTCTCCTGGCAAGCCTGGTAAAGAGCCTTTGGATGCATGTTGGAAGAGAAAGTTCCCGTGATGTGCTTAAATAATAATTATGCTGAAAGTTTCATTTCTGTTACATGTTTTAATAATAACAATGCCAAAATATCTGTCTCTACAACTTACGTAAAGTGGAATCCAATAGATTCTTTCCTATCTGTAAAAAATTTAATGTTCCAGAAAATAGATTCTTTATAACAAGTCTGGTTTAAAAAAATCATTGACAACATGTAACCTACTCAATGAGAAAATGAGGTTTTATGAAACGTAATTAATTTTAAAATTCACATTATAATAAAGTTGATTGGGCACAAGGTATTTGTCCTCTGAAAATCCTGTGAGGGAGGTTCTGTCATTACCACATTTTACTGAGGAGTTTAAATAAAAAAGAAATTACTGTTAGTGATACTGATAATAAGGCATTCTGACTCCAGAGCCCATTATAACTATTATTATTATTATTCACTATTATCCTTAAGTAATTTTTCAATAGAATTTCATTTCAGCATATCAGTTTGTGAGTACATGTTGATCAACATTATCCCTTTCATTATTTTCCCAATCTCTTCCAAACCTACCATCCCTTCAATTTACCTAGTTCCATTTTCACATACGCACATTGAATATTATGACTTCATCCACCCACCTCCTCCTCTACCT